TCGAGTATTAATTAACTGTTTGTGAGCTTTGCTACATGCTGATTCCCAATCCTCTTTTGACAAATTTGATTTGAGATCCTCATTCCATGCCCTGAGTTTAGAGTCAGAGTTTTCACTTGAATTAGACAGTAAGAAGTCATACAGCTCTGATATGGCGCCCTTACTCTGACTATTTTTAGAGATGATTGTTTCCAATGAAGTTTTTTTTCGGTCTAGTTAATTGATTACATTGATTGGTTCTAATAAAACTCCTTAGTTGAAGGAATTTAAAAAAGTATTTTCTATCAATTTTGAACTTGCATATCATATCCTCAAAAGACATTAATGATTCTGAATTTGGCATAAATAAATCCTGTACTGACTTTAATCCCTTTGATGCCCAATCTTGAAAGACCATATCTGCCCTCCCAGGGATGAAGCACTGGTTTCCCCAAATTGGGGTGTACAAAGACAAGTTACTAGTCTCCTTAACATAATTGCGCACCATAAACCAGATTTTTATCATATGTTTAACAATTGGATTTGTAGTTTTTTTTATCAGGTTGGAAATCTTATCTGAGTAAAGATAATATGGTAATGGTAGATCTAGACCACCTGATTCCATTTCTTTCCACTGGGGGGCATTATTAGTTTCAAAATAAAATTTGATTGATCTTAATTGTGTAGCCCAATAATACCAAATTATATTTGGACACTTTAAACCTCCCTGGTTATATGGCAAATGCATTAAGGACAACCGAATTCGAGCTTTATCATTTTTCCAAATAAATGCAATAAATTGTTTTTTTATCTTTGCAAAAAAATCATTGGGCGGGGGCAATGGCACATTCTGAAACAAATACAACATTTTGGGGAGCATATTCATTTTAATAACATTAATTCTTCCAATTAAGGACAAAGGTAATAATATCCACCTATCAACAGACTCTGTTATATCATTCATCAAAGATTCATAGTTAACCCTGACCACAGAATTCAATTTGCGTCTGATTTCTATGCCTAAATATGTAAAGTGATCCACCACTCTAAAGGAACGAGTCTGTGGGTCAGGATTACTAGCTTCCTTTTCATCAAGTAATAGAATTGAGGACTTGGTATTATTAATAGTGTATCCAGAAATCTTACCAAAGTTCCCTATCAAATTTAAGAGAACCGGAATTGTTCTACTCATGTTTGAAATGAAAAGGATAACATCATCTGCATACAGTGCAATTTTGTGTTCAACATGGCAAATCTTTATCCCAGCTATATCTGCACATTTTCTTATGGCAATTGCTAAAGGTTCTATTGCCAAAGTAAACAGGAGAGGTGACAATGGACAACCCTGTCTACATCCTCTCTTTATAGCAATCGGCTGTGAGATATTTTTATTTGTCACCACCTCTGCGGTAGAATTTAAGTAGAGCAATCGTATCCATTTTAGAAAATTATTTCCATATCCAAATCGTTGTAAAACATTGAAAAGATAGGGCCACTCAACCCTGTCAAAAGCCTTTTCGGCATCTAAAGACAAGAGGGCCTTATCTGTAGTATTATCTAAACCATGAATAATGTTGAGAACCCTCCTAACATTATGAAACCCCTGTCGCCCTAAAATAAACCCATTTTGGTCCCTGTGTATTACAAAAGGTAATGTTTCTTGGAGTCGTTTTGCCAGGATTTTACATAAAATTTTTAAATCAGCATTCAAAAGGCTTATTGGTCTTAAATTTTCACAGCAGTTGCTTGGCCTGCCAGGTTTGGGTAATAATGTTACTATGGCTGCCGTAAGTGACTTTGGTAGATATCCACACTGAAATGCTTCTAAGAACATGTCCAAAAGAGGTTTAAGAAATTTGGATTTGAATTTTTTATAGAGGTCTATTGGAAGTCCATCGGGACCTGGTGTTTTACCTGCCTTCATATTATCAATAGCCCTATCAATTTCCTTCTCATCTAAACCAGCTTCAAGCCTTTCTGTTAAGTCGTTTGGAATTTGAGGGATTTCCAGTGTATCTAAAAAAGTATTTTGATTATCACAGTCTTTTCCAGAGTCATATAATTTTTCATAATAGTCTCTGAATTCTTTGTTTATTTCTGCAGGATTGGTTATTGTAACACCATTACTTTTTATAATCGAAGTTATTGCTTTTCTTGTTTCTAATTGTTTAATTTGCCATGCCAACAGTGATCCAGTTTTCTCCCCCTGTTCATAAAAGGTCTGATTGAGTCTGATGATATCGGAAGCTGCTCTATCGGCTGAAAGTTTGTTATACTCTGCTTTTAGTGTCAGCAAGTCTCTTTCAGCATTAGCATTGTTGTTATTGATTACCTGGTTCTGGAGAGTTTTTATTTTAGCCTCAAGGAGCAATCTCTTTTTATGAAAATCTCTAGATTTAGATGAGGTATAGCTAATTATATGTCCTCTCAATACAGCCTTAAATGCCTCCCATTTTATTGCCGCACTTGTTTCAGTTGTGTTATCCTTAAAATAGTCATCTATTACCTTCCCGATATATTCAAGAAAATTGTTATCTAATAGCCATTTTTGATTTAAACTCCATCTAGGTGGATCATTGATTAACGCATCCTCTGTGTAAATAATGCCACATGGTCCGTGATCTGACAACAGTATACTATCATAAAAGCAATCTTCAATTTTTGATATTAATAAAGATGAAATTAAAAAATAATCGATGCGAGAAAAGGTTTGGTATGTAGCAGAATAACATGAGTAGGCAATGCCATTGGGTTTTAAATGCCTCCAGATATCAATTAAATTTAGTTCGCTTATAAAATGTTTAATAGTTGTCCTGCTTTTATTGTGGGTATTGTCAACACCAGTAGATCGGTCCTTAGTTGGATCTAGAGTGCAATTCCAGTCCCCTGCAATTATATAAAGGCCTGGGAGGGTGGAAAGAGTAAGAAAGAAATCTGTAAAAAAATTTGATCGTCCACATTTGGACCATATACATTCACCAGATTTAAACTGGTTTTAAGTAGTGAGCCCTGAACAATTAAATATCTTCCTAATTTATCTTCAATTACATTTGACACTTGAAAAGGAACTGAGTTATGAATAAGGGTCATAACTCCCCTTGCCTGCGAATTAAAAGATGCTGCATAAACAGTGCCCTTCCATCTCCTACTAATTTTGACATGGTCCTCTTTAATAGTGTGGGTCTCTTGTAAAAATATTATTTTTGCACCAGAATCTTTTAACTTGTTCATCACTTGTTTAATTTTTTTTATTTTCTGCAAACCTCTGCAATTCCAGGATATGAAATTAAGTTTCACTTTTTGGGACATTTCAAAGCAAAAAACAAAATTCTGATGGCTGTTTGTCTAAAATGGTTGACCACTGAACTAAACACACACTGAACACTCTGAACTTTAGAAACAAAAAAAAAAAAAAAAAAACAATCCCATCCCCACATTAAGTGGTTATTCCCTTTATTTATGTAGCTTCCTCTAACCTTTAGGGATAGATCCAAAATCTAGATCAATCCCCTTAACTGTTCTGGCACAGTTGGTGGAAAAAGAAAGAAAAGAGAAAAAAAAAAAAAATCGCTAACTTCAAAAGCTCCCCTGCTTTTTTTTTTTAATTATTATTATTTATTTGGTTTTTTTTTTTGTTTTTTTATTATTAATAATGGATTAGATTATTGTGCACTAATATAAAAATGCCAAACAAAATTCCAGCAGGGACAATAAACATGATGTGCACAGCTTTAACTTTTTAACTTTAAAGACAGAATAGGATGTTAATGAAATAACAGACACTGCGCATTGCAATGCCTCCTAACCTTACTGATCAGAATTCTCCCCTTCAACGCTGTGTATGAACTCCTGCACTTGTGATACGTTGTCAAATGTGAGCGTTCGTTCTCTGTATGTTACCAGCAGTTTGGCAGGCGGTCTGAATCCATGCCTCAGTCCCAGTCGTCGCAGTTGTTGACGCATCGAATCATACTGCCTCCTCTGTTTGTGCACCTCCGTTGCCAAATCGTTGTAGAGCCGCACGCTGATATTCTTGTAGAGGATGTCCCCCTTCGTTCTTGCGGCATTCATCACGGCGACTTTCTGTTTATAGTTCAGGAACTTCATGATTAGAGGTCTTGGTGGATCTCCTGTACTTCTCTTTGGCCCAATGCGGTGCGCTCTCTCCAGTATCAAGGGCGATCGCAGCGGTGTCATATCCAGCGCATCTGGTATCCAGCTCTCAAGAAACGAGCATGAGTCCGGGCCCTCCGCTCCCTCTGGCAGTCCCACGAGTCGTACGTTATTCAACCGCGATCTGGTTTCCATGTCAATTAACTTATCCTCCAGGACCCGGTTCCTCTTTTCCAACTTTTCCACCCTGCCCTTGAGAGCGCCACACTCATCCTCAACCGCAGAGACGCGCACCTCCGCTTCTCCGATCCTATTGGTGCAGTCACTTAGTTGTTTTTTCGTTTCCTCTGATGCCTTTAGAATGCCATTCAGTTTACCGTTAAACTCTTACTTTAAATCCCACACCGCCTTCAGGATTTCGTCCCTAACGAGTTTGAGTTCACTGTCAGCTGCCGCTGGAGCGTTGCTGTGGGTTTCGGGTGCAGCGCTAGCCTCATTGCTAGCGTTAGCTTCATCTTCTACCGGGCTAGTTGCTTCTTTGCTAGGTTTTAGCTCTACAGATTTCCCGAAGTCAGATAGCTTCGACTGTGTTACAGTTTTCCCCTTTTCTCTGGTCATCTTAGCGTTCGTTGGCATTCTCTCCTTATCAAAGATAACTATCTGTGCACACTTGTATTAAAATGCAATTTGCAACAGGATTTTGCTCAGAAAATATCAGAGCAGGGGCGCACACGTCTGTCTAGTTTGCGGCCATAACCGGAAGTCCCCAACAGTGACATTTTGAAGTGTACTTGAGTTTTTGTTTAGGCAACACTGTGGTTCCCCTGGCTGACGAAGCCAAAAGTGTTTGTGCCCACATTTTAGGGAAGGGGAGGCGAGGGTTTCAACTCAAAAGAGGAAGACACAGCCACAGCTTAAGCCACTACAGAACCGACTGTAGCTTTTGTCTCACATCTGCAGCAAAATGGACAAGATTAAAACCATCCTCAACACCGCCAAGGAGCAGACCAGCCTCGGCTTGGGCCTGATCTCGTTACTCACTGCAGGGAGTGAACAGATTTTCTCAAAAGTGGTTTTCCAATGCCCCTGCGACCAACTCAACTTCTTGTATGGCGTTGTGTTTTTGCTTGTTCCTGCTTTGGCGTTGATCACTCTTGGTTTTATTTTGTCCAAGAAAACATGGAAATTGGTGACGGGTTTGTGTCGAAGAGAGGAGAAAGTGTGTGGCAGCTGCAGTAGAGTGAAGTCTCTTGCAAATGTGATCTTTCAGATTTCGACGTTTGTTTTCCTGGCTCCGAGCACCTGGATTGCAGTGGCTCTTCTGAATGGGGTTTACATCCAGTGCGCCATGACAGGGACCAACATGACAATGTTTAACGATCATTTGTGCAAAAGGACTGAGATGGAGGCAGACTGTTTAAAGGAGCTACACACATTCCCTTGTGGAATAGATGGAAAAGTGCCTAAAGACGAGAGAGACGAGGTGCTCCTCAAGCTCAGAGCAGAGTCACAGGTTTGTGGTGATGATTTTGTTTTGTCCAGGCTTGAGAAAACTGCTTTTGGTTCTTTGTGACAAGTCCATGAAGTGTGAGTGTAATGTTTATCCAACTAATTACTTTTTGTTGGTCCAAAACAGTATTTAGTGTCTAGTGTTGGTGGTGGTGGATTCGCAGCCTTGCTTCTGGCAGTCTGCCCCAGGGCAGCTGTGGCAGTGTATAGTAGACAATAATGAAGTGAGGAACTTGGAGTAAAACAAGTAATGTGTTTTACGCTCACTGCTCCTGTCCGACTCCTCTTTGTCTCCTCAGCACTGGCTGTAGGACGAGTCACATGAAAAGAATGACATACTAAATATCTTAACCTCCTGTCTGCTCCTCTGTCTCTGCACCTGTCTGCTCCTCTGTCTCTGCACCTGTCTGCTCCTCTGTCTCTGCACCTGTCTGCTCCTCTGTCTCTGCACCTGTCTGCTCCTCTGTCTCTGCACCTGTCCTCTCTCTCCTCAGATTGCGGGTTGGCTGCTGATTGCGACCATGATCCTTTTCTACTTGGCCTTCAGCTGTGTGGCTCGGTGCTGTTCTCCGGTCAGTTACCTTGAGCTGAAGTTCTGGAAGCTCTACGCCCAGAAGGAGGACACTGCCTTCAACTTGTACTCAGTCGAACACGCCGAGAAACTGGCCAAATGCAGCGTCACAAGCTTCTTCACCAACACCGAACCAGACTCTGTTCAGACGCCCTCAAATGAGGACTGGCAGGAGATCTCCTCCGTCTACGTCCCCTGTGACACAAAAGGGTAAGTTAAAATACAGATATGTCGCCATTTTCTGATGTTCAATGTTATAATGTTGTTTCCTCATCAAAAATATAGGAGTTGTGTTTGACATGTGTGAATGAATATTTAGGCTGATCCTTCTCTCAAAGAGAAAACGCTCTCACACTTTAAACTCCAAACACCTTCACTACAATCATTTGGATAATTTAAGACGTGAAATTGAAAATCTCTACTGAACAAAAAGTAGAAGGCAGTGGTGGGTCATCGGGGCCTGCAAGGTCCGTTGGCGTAAAAAAAAAAAAAATCTGAATCACAGACTGATGTTAATTATATTATTATTAAATAATTCCAAATGGTCTGTCTTCTTCCTTTCGTAACTTTTCCGATGCTTGCGCTGCTTCCAGACATGGATTTTCATATTAAAACATTTGACCAATCACATTTCTGACATCATCTGTTGCCAGGCAGAGTCAAAGTCAAAGAAGTCTGTCTGAGGCCTTCACAATCTGTTCTGCAGGCCCTTGAAAAAAAAAAAAATGTCCATGAAACTGTTGGTTTTGTCTCAGCCTTGACGGTGCTTGGACTCTCTCTTGTCTCAGTCTTGAGGTCTGACACTCGACGAGTGATAAAATGGAGATAGATTTATAAAAACATTGATATATATGTATGTGCCAAAGTAACTGTAATACAAAATACACATAAATGTGTCATTTGGTCTCGATGGGCTGTGGTCTCAGTCTTGGCTCAGTATCGAGCTTTAAAAGTCTCATTCTTGTTTCGGTCTCAACCCTCAGAGGTCTTGGTCTTGTCCTGGTCTTGGGACCCTGTGGTCTCGGACAGGTCTTGGTCTCGATTATTGCGCTCTTGACTACAACACTAGCATTTTGTACCTGCCCGAGGACAGCAGATGGAAAGTAAAATCTGGGGCAGAGCAGCTTTTCTCTCTGAGTTTAATGTTTTCTTAGGTTGGCTAATTACAGATGGCAGTTTTAAAGTCATAACAAATGAAGACATTTTATTTAAAGTGATAAAAAAAACAAATATAGATGCCGAGGTTGTGAACAATCATTATTAACATGCTGTTCTCGTCCTGCAGAAGGCAGTATTACAGCGCACTGCACGGTTTCATGAGGCCTAAGAGCGGAAGAGTCTACGTCCCCCCGATCACAGAGGGAGATATGTCACCATGTCCGCAGTCAAGAGATGATGAGGAGGAGAAACTCTGAATGGAAACTGTCATATACCAATGTTTTTTTGTTTGTTTTTATCATAGTCCAGTTTTAGTTCGGGTTTAATTCTGGTTCTGTCCATGGTCCCTCACGGTATTTTTTATTTTTTTGGTTTGTTCACAATCAAAGTTTGTACAGCACATTTTATAAATAAGACAGTCCGGCACATAACAAAAATTAAAAAATAAAAAGACAAAAAATAAATAAATAAATACTACAGTTGATTTGGTGTTGAGTTCGACTCTCAGGTTGTTTTTAGTGTGAACATGTTTCGTTTCTCATCCAAGCAGCTTCACGACTTCACGATGGACTTTAGACTGATTTAGACTTTCATAAAAAAGTGTATTTTAAAGGTGGACTATGCAACTTTTCTGCTTGGGGAGGCATCTCCATAGAGACCATTCACTGCACTATAGATCAATTATTTCTCACTTTGTACAAAGATCAGACTTCAGACCAAAATAAACCAAGACCAAACCAAGTCTAAACCCAGAACTAATCCAGGATTGACCCAGGACTGAACCAGGACTGACCCAGGACTGTATCAGGGTCAGTTATTGAACATTTGTCCAAACCTGATTGTGTCTTACCCTGTAGTTCTGAGAATCTCGTCACTTCTGCACTTGTCTTATTCATGATTAACATGTGAGTGAATATTGTCACATTTTCTTTGTGTTTTGGTGATTTTTAAGAAGCAGCTTTTCTGTACTTTACCTCTGCTGCTTTTTACCTGGTTTTAGATAAATCTGCTGGGACAGGGGACACAGGGCTCAAAACTGGGGCTGTAAATAGGAATGTCTGATCACAATAACAATATTTTCTCTTCACTTTACAGTTTTTCAAGATTTAATTTAAAGGGACCATGTTACTGTATTTTCTGATCTAATGTCGTTTCCTCGTCACAAACAGACCTGGAGTTGTGTTTTATTTCATTCACAAATGTTTGTGGCCATATCGACTTGTCAAAACCTGATCCTGTCAGATCTCAGAAGCTCAGCAGGTCCGGGTCTGGTCTGGACTTGGATGGAGACACTGGGAAAATCAGGAGCCACAGGGAGGCGCCAGTCACAAAAACTGTCACTGTGTCCTTAGGCAAGACACTTCACCCACATTGCCTAGTGTGAAAGTGGTGTGTGTGTGAGTGATGGTGGTGGTCGGAGTCAGTCTGCCCCAGGGCAGCTGTGGCTACAATAGTAGTTTACATCACCTGGTCTGAAGAGAAAGAAAGAATAATGAATCTGTAAAGCATCTTTGTGACATTTGTCTGTGAAAAGCTCTTTATAAATAAAGACTTACTTCTTTAACACACAAACCCTGCAGATTTAGGCTGAGTTCTTCTCTCAAACTGAAAACACTCTATTTCACTTTGTGATGTCATGTGGTAATACAGGAAGTGCTCCACTGTGTTTTAAAACTCCACACACCTTCACTAGAATCATTTGGATCATTTCAGCTCTGGAATCAGAGGCAGCGCTGACATTAGGTAACAGTAGTCGGCCGCTTAGGGCCCCCAAACCTGGAGGGGCCCCCAACCAATTCAGTGCCTCAGTGCCACTAATGGCCGAGGCCTCAGAGCAATTAGATTTTCTCTCAATGAGTGTGTTTACATGCACATCTGTATCCTGGTTATGATCGGGTTTTTTGAGTGTCCTGGTTTTGTCATGGTGCATGTGCACACAGTATCCCAGTTTCAGTCCTGAATAAGGCAGTATCCCACTTATGAGAAACCAGTTATAGTTCTAAAATTATTATTCAATAATTATTATATTTATAATAATTCGTTCTTATTTTTCGCGTCAGTTGACGGCAGCGACTTGAGCAAAATTTCGCAGAGTTTTTACTGAGCTGAAACTACGTCATATAATTTCCTCAAAAATAATACTGAATAATTTTAGAAATATACTCGTGCAAATGAAAATTGTCACAGCACAAACGAAATACAAATGTTTCGTATAATTTTCTGCCTGTTTGGAAGCTGTTTAACATTTTGAAAAGGCTGGATGACATCATCAGCCAAAAATAAAACTGCTAATATCTTAAGAACCATAACTGTACAAACAAAACTTTCTGCAGCACAAATGAAGCACAAACGATGGACATAGTTTTTGTGCAGGTGTGTGTTTGATGGGGGCAGCTTCACGCAGGTCTCAGTGTGTTCTGAGTTTCATTTGTTGTGTGGTTGTGGTTTTGCTGCTTCCTGCGTCTGTCGTTTTAAGAGCTGCTTTAAGAGGCTCTGGTGTTTTGTGCTTCACTTATTTCCACTGCACAGTCTCCACCCAGAGTTCAGCCTGTGCCTCTGCTGCTGCCACAGTGAGCTCAACACGACAGAAACAGAAATAAAAACTATGATTCTGCAAGTTTTTATAGTTTGCATTTGTGATTGTGTCATTTAAAAAGGAAGAAAAGAGGGAAGTGAATTAAAGAGGGTTGGACAGAGCAGAGGATGAAGACTATGAGGATGATGACTAAACCAGAACTGAACCAGGAAAACTAACCCAGGACTAAAGACTGATTCAGTCCTGGAATCCAGGACTGGAATCCAGGACTGAATCAGGACTAAAACAGGACTAAACCAGAACTGAACCAGGAAAACTAACTTTAAATCAAAACTAATCCAGGACCAAACCAGGACTAATCTTGGACTAGAACTTGGAAGCGCTTTTGCAGACAGGGCGTCTGCAAAGCACAATCGGGCATCAGATGCGGTTGTCCCCGTAGTGCGTGGAGTTCTCCGTCGGTCCTTTTGCCCGCAGTCACCTCACAGTCTACGCGAGTGCGTCTCCGGCGTTTCACTGCTGCTGATATCACGGTGATTTTAGCGAATTTGTATGAAGAAAAACGAAAAACCCACCACTTCAATCCAGGTTAAAAATGCATTGTAACGTGCGTTACTGACATTTGTACCGAGTAAAATATTAATTTTTTCCCCCTGTAACACCACATTACTGCGTTACAGCAAAAAGCAACACATTACAGTAATTTGTTACTTTTATGACGCGTTACTCCCAACACTGGTGACCAGACGTCCCTATTTATCCAGGACAGTCCCAGTTTTGAGCCCTGTGTCCCCTGCCCCGTCAGATTTATACAAAACCAGTGATTTGTCCCAGTTTTATATAAGAAATGTCTCAGATGTCCCTATTTTTGACCAATTTGATCTAAACCAGGACAAACAGGGCTAAACCAAGACTACCTCAACTCTAAACCAGGACTAAAACAGGACAATCACAATTTTTGACTAATCTGATCCCTGCCAACAGTAAATAGGAGCAAACATTGTAATTTCTTCAGTCAAAATACAGAAACCGTGTTTGCAAATGACCATAAAGCAAAAAAAATAAAAAATACAGTGACAGAAGCTCTTCTGATTATGGCTGACGTGAGAATGCACAATGTTACGTGCTCTTTTCACAGTTTTATTTATATCAACCATCCCAAGTGTTCCAGTTTAGAATTTTAAAAATCTGGTCACCCTACCGGTTTGGAGTTTTTGGTAATAATTAAATTGTAAAAAGGGGGGCATAATTAAGGAAAATTGTTTTGCACCTGGCCCATTCATAAATAACATGTGTGTCATTATAGTCACATTTACTTTCTGTTTTGGTTTTGTTTAAAGCAGCTTTTCTGTAGTTTACCTAAACAAATGACAATATAAGCCTCTCTTTACTGTTGGCAGGGATCACGTTGGTCAAAAACACCAGGGACATGACTTGTATAAAACTGGGACAAATCAATAGTTTTAGATAAATCCACTAGGACAGGGGACACAGGGCTCAAAACTGGGACATCTGATCACCCTAACTACATTTTCTTGAGGGCCAGATTTTTCCGAGGGCCGTTGGTGTCACAAAAAATCCCAAACACCAGATCTGTTTCAATAGTGATTTAACAAAACTGCTAGGCCTATTGGATTGTTTGAAAAATGAAATGCAAAAGGCAAACTTTGCCCTCGAGAATTGTCAATCCAGTAGGACTATTGAACCGGAATTAAACTAGATCTAGACATTACCAACTGGCTCTTAATCAGGAAGACCCCAGAATTAAACTAGGACTAAACCAGGCCCTAACCAGGACTAAACCAATAAACAAGAGAAGTCTAGTTAACATGATTTGAATTTAGAGCTGCTGAACTAAATGGAAAAATATCTCATTACATTTTTTCTGACAACCTACAAGCATTGCAATTGGGTCATTCCACGGCATTTCAACAAATGGCCCACGCACTTCATCTCAAAAACTCTGAAAAAATTACCAAATAGTCCCTGACTCCCATGTACCAACCCTGTGAAGTTTTAGTCATTTTCGATCAATACTTTTTAAGTTTCAGCTCATTTAGTGAGGGAGGTATGTGTCAAGTTACAGGCCCAAAATGCACGTCATTTTTTCTCGGCTGTTTTCACAGGTCGATATCTCTGTAAGTATCACACATAGAGGCCTGAAATTTTGTAGGCCTATTCTCCTCTACTCTGTGTTCAAAAAACATCTATCAAAAGTTTGGTATCTCAACTCATTGTCATTTTATATGAACTTAAAAATGAAAAAAAAAAAAAAAAACTTGTTCATTTCTGTAGTGTACCATTTTTAGCCCCTTTTTAAACCTACTTGTGGGTGTTGGAGAACCGTGAATTTTTTTGAGAATCAAGATTTGTACTAGAACTGTTAAAAAAAAAAAACACCAAATGTTGAAAATTTGAAATAGTTATAGTATGTGTGAGGGTCCTGTTAAAAACAAGAAAACACAACATGGTCAGATTTTCACATGTAATTTATGGCATGTGGGTAGTGATGAAAAAATTTGGAATAATTTTTTCTTGAAAGACCAGAAAAAGACCTTTCATTTGCAGTGTTGGGAGTAACGCGTTATAAAAGTAACGAATTACAGTAATGCATTACTTTTTGCTGTAACGCAGTAATGTAAGGCATTACAGGGGAAAAAAATAGTAATATTTTACTTGGTACAAATGTGAGTAACGCGCGTTACAGTGTTTTTTTAACCTGGATTGAAGTGGTGGGTTTTTCTTCATACAAATTCGCTAAAATCACCTCGATATCAGCAGCGGTGAAACGCCGGACATGCGCCCTCGTAGACCTTCGGGTAACCGCGGGCGAAAGGACTGACACAGAACTCCACGCTGTTTAGACCTGGTTTAGACCTGGGTCAGTTCTGGTTTAGACCTGGTTTACACTCGTCCCTCCCTCTATCGCAGTTCACTTTTCGCTGTCTCGCAGATTTTTATTTATTTATTTTTTTTGTGTGCAATTTTGCATGCCCTGTTTTTTTTACATTGTATGAATGCGTATTGCGTTCCTCCCGCTGCGTCCTGACTGGCCGAGGGACTCCTGTCTCCTGTACAGTACAGAATGTGTTCAGCTGCCAAATTTAAATACATGTTCAATCTGTATCAGTGTGATTCTGAAGTGCTGTACGGTTGCAAGTTTTCTCCCCGACGAAAACCCACAACGTCGACGAAACGTTCTGCACCGACAAAGGCTCCTGCACTCGCACCCAAAAGGCAGAGGAAGATGCAAACCATCACACAAAAAGTTGGACTTCTGGACTCGCTGAAGGAAGGTAGAAGTTACGCGCTGTAACAGAGTCTTGCACCGGCTCGGGTACCTGCAAATAGTTGCTGAAATCAGGACCGTGAGCCCGAGCAGCAGGGTGTCTGTAAAGAGCGATCGGGTGACAGCCGCTCTTACCTCCGTGAGGTGCGGAGCAGAGCCGCTCCTTTCTCCTGCGTCACCTTCGAGCCCGTCCCTACAGTGAGTCCTGTTTTAGTCCTAGTTCAGTTCTAGTTTAGTCCTAGTTCACTTCTGGTTTAGTCCTGGTTCAGCTCTGGTTTAGTCCTGGTTCAGTCCATATACAGCGCAAAAGTTATTTTGGTGAGAGTAACTTAAAGTAATGCAATAGTAAAGTAATGCCTTACATTTTAAATGCAGTAATATTGTAATGTAACGAATTACTTTGAAATGACAGTAACAAGTAATAAATAACGCATTACAGTTTCAAAGTAACTTGCCCAACAGTGTTCATTTGGTACCAAACATATGTGTTTTATGAAGCTCCTTCAATTTTTAATTGAAGGAGCTTCATAATAGATAGTACATGATAGTAAGGGACCAGCTGGTAATTTTTTCAAAATTTTTAAAAAACATGATGCGTGAGATTTTCTGGAAATTTGATGAAATGGCGTGGAATGACCCAATTGTGATTCGATTTATGTTTTAATAATAAGTTTCTGCTCAAAGTTCATATTTTAAACAGTTCCAGACAAAAATACTGAAATATGAAGTGACAAACTACTACAAGAATCACATTTCAGAACATTTTTTTGTATTTTTAAATAGTGGAGGGTCTGCCAGTTGTCTCCAGGGAGTTTTTCTGTTCTTGTTTTTGCCAACACAAGCAGGTGGTGCAACCCGATTAAGTTACAAGTCTGATCTGTGAAGAGGCGGGCCTGCTCACAGCAAGAAAACATGTTTTAAGGAAAGTATTTTTAGCAACAAAAATACACAAGATGCTTAATATTTCACTGTTTCGTGGCAAGCAAGTAGTTAGTGGACACTACATCTGAACAGTGACATTCTGAAGTGTACTTGAGTTTTTGTTTAGGCAACACTGTAGTTCCCCTGGCTCACGACACCAAAAGTGTTTGTGCCCTCATTTTAGGGAAGGGGAGGTGAGGGTTTCAACTCAAAAGAGGAAGACACAGCCACAGCTTAAGCCACTACAGAACCGACTGTAGCTTTTGTCTCACCTCTGCAGCGAAATGGACAAGTTTAAAACCATCCTCAACATCGCCAACAAGCAGACCAGCCTCAGCTTCGGCCTGGTCGCGTTACTCACTGCAGGAAGTGAACAGATTTTCTCCAGTGTGGTTTTCCAATGCCCCTGCAACCAACTCAACTTCTTGTACGGCTTTGTGTTTTTGCTTGTTCCTGCTTTGGCGTTGATCACTCTTGGTTTTATTTTGTCCAAGAAAACATGGAAATTGGTGACGGGTTTGTGTCGAAGAGAGGAGAAAGTGTGTGGCAGCTGCAGTAGAGTGAAGTCTCTTATAAATGTGATCTTTCAGATTTCGACGTTTGCGTTCCTGGCTCCGAGCACCTGGATTGCAGTGGCTCTTCTGAATGGGGTCTTCATCGAGTGTGCCATGACGGGGACCAACATGACGCTGTTTAATGATCATTTGTGCAAAGGGAGGGAGATGGAGGCGGACTGTTTAAAGGAGCTACACACATTCCCCTGTGAAATAGTTGGAAAAGTGCCTAAAGACGAGAGAGACGAGGTGCTCCTCACGCTCAAAGCAGAGTCACAGGTTTGTGGTGATGATTTTGCTTTGTCCAGGCTTTAGAAAACTGCTTTTGGTTCTTTATGACAAGTCCATGAAGTGTGAGTGTAATATTTATCAAACTAATTACTTTCTGTTGGTCCAAAACAGTATTTTTGTATAGTGTATAGTAAGGTTGTCCCTATCTGATCACTGCGGACTCGATCTGGACTCGGCCGTTATGGTCCGATCAGGTATCGGATAAATAATAAATGTATATAACACACAGGACACACAACAGTTTTTCTGAGGTGCGGGATTTGCTCAGGGACGTCCAGTCAGCGCGAACCATGAAGTCAGTCCCAGGAAGGAGCGTAGTGCTGGCATGTCCTTCGGTGCAGGTGCTTCTGCGATAGCAGTGAGATGATCCGAGCTAGGGCGTAAGCCGTCTTTGGAAATGACATGGCCAAGGAAAGTAATGTCTGTTTGGGCAAATGCACTTTTCCCGAGTTGATCTGCAGTCCAGCCTCACTTAGGTGCTTGAGGACTGCTTGTAGATGGCGGTCATGTTCTTCTTTTGAGGCTCCATAGACAACAATGTCATCCAAGTAGTTCTGTACGCCTGGCAAGTCCTTTAATATGGTCTCCATCATCTTTTGAAAAGCAGATGGTGCAGATGCGAAACCAAATGGAACATGTGTGAAATGGAATAAGCCGTCGTGAGTTATGAAAGCAGTTAGTCTGCGACTTTCCGGGTGTAGAGGTAACTGGTGGTATGCTGAGCTTCAGTCGATCTGGCTGTAGTGAGTGGTACCAGACAGTTCTGCAAAGAGATCCTCCATATGAGGAAGTTGGTAACAGTCCATTACGACACTTTTATTTGGTTCATGCAGGTCAACACATAAGCGTAGCCCCCCGTCTGCGTTTCCTTCCCACAACCAGAGGACTCACCCACTCCGAAGCATCCACTCTTTCAATGATGTCTGCTTGCAGTAGTCGAGCCAGTTCAGCTGACACTTCCTTACGTATGCTGAGCGGTGGATGTCGTAGTTTCTGGCGTACTGGTCTGATTTTGTTGTTGACTTGCACTTTGTGAATGAATCCTTTGACACATCCAAGTGTTTGAGTTGGAGTATAGTCAATGTTGTGCACTGTGCCAAGCTCAACAGCAGATGGTGTGTTTGCCTTGTCCACATCAAGGAGTACTTTGCCATCAATGATGTTGACCCCCAGGGTTTTAATCAGGTCCAAACCCAGCAAGGGAGATCCAGCTTTCACAATATAGAAAGTCTTTTCTCGTTTAGTCGTAATTTCTGCATGGAGACAGCCCAGGACAGGTAAGTGACCCTTGGAATAAGTGACTAGCTTTGAGGCTCTTGGAGTGTGCAGTTAGCAAAATGTTTCTTGTACAATGTCTCTGATAAGATGGACACAGAAGCTCCAGTGTCCACTATTAGTTCAACTGGATGTTCATTCCCTTTTGGTGCCTCAATATTCACTGCGCACGTGAGCTTATCAAATGCTGCAGCTGCCAACTTAACATTATCAACACAAAGAATGGCTAACTCAGGCACGACAACTTCTTGTATTTGGTTTACAGATTTAGCACCTGATCTGCATACCTTGGCAAAATGTCCTCTTTTCCCACAGTTATTACACTGTACTGAAGCAGCTGGGCAGTTTCTGTCAGTGGCAATATGTTTGTTTGATCCACATCTAAAGCATTTGCGTTGTTGCTTGTTAGCTGTTGTAGCTTGCTTGTTACAGTCATGAGCACTGGACTTGGTGGGACATGAATCTCTTTTCCCTCGAAAACTTGAGCGGGACGGACCGATTGCCTGTACTGGCGCCGTGGGTGCTTGTCTGTTAGCTGTTAGCAGAGTAGCGTTTTTCACCGCAGCCTCAACTTGTGTAGCAATAGTTACTGCTTTGTCCAAAGTCAGTTCGTTTTCAAGGAGGAGTTTATCTCGCACAGCACTGAGATGTGTATTTGAAATGAGCTGATCTCTTATCATCTCACCCTCCATCGCTCCACACTCGCATGATGCAGCCAAGTCTCTTAGCGCAGCCACGTACTGAGTAGCCGTCTCATCCGAACGCTGAACACGTTGTCGGAATGTGTCTGCATGCTACGACATTGACTTTCGGGATGAAATGCTTTTCAAGCGCAGCCATCGCTGTTGCCATTGTGTCACCTTGGTCCGGTAAAGTGTAGAAAAGGCGTTGTCCTTCTGGGCCAAGGCAGTGCAGTAATACAGCTTGTTTTCTGGCATCTGGCCATGCATCTTCAGTAGCATTTATAACCAGCATGTAGTTAGCAAACATTTTCCACCAAGTAGCAAAAGGAATAGGCGGCTCACCAACATGTGGAAGAAAAAACGGTGGGAACGGTACTGACGCGCTCATCCTCGTCGCCAATTTGTTATGTTGGTGGTGTAGAAGAAACGAAGGCTAGATGAATCTTCAATAACGTTTAAAGCAGCAATCAGTTTTTCACATGGCTACATTACAATGGTATTAACTTTCTATCACTCAAGTTCCCCTCTTTTATGTTACGTTGCCCTCTACAGGTGAGGCGTACATCTCAGTAATCTTACACTAACCACTATAGTAATCACATTTACAAATCTGTCAACACAACAGTTGTGTCCCGTTGTCAAGGTGATTAATTGTTAAAAGTGAGAACAGATTTGGGAGAAAAAGCATCAGAAACAGAAGATGCTAACCATGCTAAGCTAACCGCAGCCGCTCCGTTCGGTGACTTCTTCGTGTGTTGAGGAGGCAGGGTCAGGGTTTAAACAGCGGCGCAGCGCCACACGTTGTAGCGGGCGCCGGCTGGAACTACATCAACACGGGAGGTGAATGCGAAAATGTGTTGGGCTGTTTTCAACTATCGATCGATCGTTTGTGCAAAGGGAGGGAGATGGAGGCGGACTGCTTAAAGGAGCTACATACTCTCCCCTGTGGAAAATAGAATAGAATGGCCTATTTCAACTACATTTAGGGTGACCAGATTTTCTAAATAAAAAAAAACTGGGATTGTAGGGTGACCAGCACTGTTAAGCAAGTTACTTCAAAACTGTAATGTGTGATTTATGACTTATTACTGTCATTTCAAAGTAATTCGTTACATTACAATATTACTGTATTTAAAATGTAAGGCATTATATTACTATTGCATTACTTTGAAGTTACTCTCACAAAAATAACTGCGAAGATGCTGAACTTTTGCGCCGTATATGGACTGAACCAGGAGGACTGTATCAGAGCTGAACCCGGATTGAATCAGGACTAAAACAGAACTGAACCAAGACTAAAACAGGTCTAAACCAGAACTGAACCAGGACTAAAACAGATTTAAATCAAAACTAATCCAGGACCAAACCAGGACTAATCTTAGACTAGAACTTGGAAGCGCTTTTGCAGACAGGGCATCTGCAAAGCACTATCGGGCATCAGATGCGGTTGGCCCTGTGGTGCGTGGAGTTCTGCGTCGGCCCTTTTGCCCGCAGTCACCTCACAGTCTACGCGGGCGTGTCTCCGGCGTTTCACTGCTGCTGATACTGCGGTGATTTTTGCGAATTTGTATGAAGAAAAACGGAAAACGGAAAACCCACCACTTGTACCGAGTAAAATATAAATTTTTTCCCCCTGTAATGCTCTTACATTACTGCGTTACAGCAAAAAGCAACACATTACAGTAATTTGTTACTTTTATGACGCGTTACTCCCAACACTGGTGACCAGACGTCTCTATTTATCCAGGACAGTCCCAGTTTTGAGCCCTGTGTCCCCTGCCCCGTCAGATTTATACAAAACAGTGATTTGTCCCAGTTTTATACAAGAAATGTCTCAGATGTCCCTATTTTTGACCAATTTGATCTAAAGCAGGACAAACAGGGCTAAACCAAGACTACATCAACTCTAAACCAGGACTAAAACAGGACAATCACAATTTTTGACTAATCTGATCCCTGCCAACAGTAAATAGGAGCAAACATTGTAATTTCTTCAGCCAAAATACAGAAACCGTGTTTGCAAATGACCATAAAGCAAAAAAATAAATTAAAATAAAAAATACAGTGACAGAAGCTCTTCTGATTATGGCTGACGTGAGAATGCACAATGTTACGTGCTCTTTTCACAGTTTTAATTATATCAACCATCCCAACCCAGAAGTGTTCCAGTTTAGAATTGAAAAAATCTGGTCACCCTACCGGTTTGGAGTTTTTGGTAATAATTAAATTGTAAAAAGGGGGGCATAATTAAGGAAAATTGTTCTGCACCTGGCCCATTCATAATTAACATGTGTGTCATTATAGTCACATTTACTTTCTGTTTTGGTTTTGTTTAAAGCAGCTTTTCTGTAGTTTACCTAAACAAATGACAATATATGCCTTTCTTTACTGTTGGCAGGTATTACACTGGTCAAAAATAGAGATGCTAGGGACATGTCTTGCTTTTGGATAAATCCACTGGGACAGGGGACACAGGGCTCAAAACTGGGACTGTCTCGCTCTTCTGATTATGGCTGACGTGAGAATGCACAATGTTACGTGCTCTTTTGCCAGTTTTAATTATATCAACCATCCCAACCCAGGTGTGTCCCAGTTTAGAATTTTGAAAATCTGGTCACCCTCCCAGTTTGGAGTTTTTGGTAATAATAAATTGCGTAATTAAGGAAAATTGCTCTGCACCCGACCCATTCATAACTAACATGTGAGTCAGTATAGTCACATTTACTTTCTGTTTTAGTCATTTTAAAGCAGCTTTTCTGTAGTTTACCTAAACAAATAACAATATAGAGCTCCGGACCCCACGTGACTCACGGTGGGCGAGCCGCCATTTTGGCAGTAAAAATGAATAGTGCCACCGCTGAAGCATTGAAGACATTGAACTTTATATAAAAAAATTTAACTGATTAAAACATTACCGACCCGTATAATGCCCCCAGGGTGCTTTTTAAAAATGATTTCTGCTGAAGAAGACGTCCCAGATCTGCAGTACACCGGCAAACGAACCAAAATTGGTCCGATTGACGAGCCTCTGTTTCCCGGTAGAACAGCAATACCTCCAACTATCAACACCGATGTTCCCTGTTAAGACCACGGACCGTCCTCATCTCAAGTGTCATGAACTCATAAAACAGCAACATGTAGAACGTTGTACAAACTCACCGTACATCAGCCCGGAGCAGAAGCTCTGAGGTCGGGAAACAGCAGCAGCCAACAGCGGTAAAGAGGAACTCACCGCAGCTCAGACCCTCAGGATGGGGCTGGGGTCTGGTCCTTGGTCTGGTCTTCCGAGCGCGTTGGTCAGATGGTCCAGAGGCTCCGTCCTCCATGTGCTGGTTCCAGATGGGAGTGAGCAAGACCAGTGCTTGATGGAATGGGTCCGAGCTGTTCCGTGTCATCATCTGTGTGCTGGTTCTGTGCGGGGAAAGTGAGAATGTGCTGTGGACAACAGGTCCGGACGGGTGTTATGTTGGTGGTGTAGAAGAAAATGAAGGCTAGATGAATCTTCAATAACATTTAATGCAGCAATCCGTTTTTCCACATGGCTACATTACACTGGTATCAACTTTCTTCTCTGTACGTCGCCCTTTACAAGTGAGGCGTACATCTCAGTAATATTACACTAACCACTATAGTAATCACATTTACATATCTGTCAACACAACATCTCCCCCATTACTCATAAAGATTGCAGAACTGTAGAACAAGTAAAGAGTGATTTAAAAATAAAAGTAATCTGAAGTTGTTTCTTTTCTGTAGCTGCGTTGCATTCCTATCAAAATAAAATACATACAATACTTTAACTTAAAATCAGCAGTTGGTGGTAAATCTCAAATTTATGTAGTAACCATTTGAACCAAACGTACCTATCATTTTAAGCAAAAGTACCTATTATCAGAACTGTTTTGCTTTATTGGCTACTTTGACTTTTATGCTATTTCATTACATAGTCCTTAGTCCATGTGGGTGGTTTGTGCTCTCTTTGTGGAGCAGCACGATTTGGTCCAGTCTCGGTCTGGCTGGTATCTTGTCCAGCAGTACCAGCTTGATGAGGTTCCACTGCTCTCTCTGGGCAGAGAGAAAGGCGAGTTGCATTCCACCTTTTCCCGTCACTCAAGATGAAGGTGCTGTGTCCAGTTTGTTTGTTGAATGGACACAGGGTCAGTGTACTGTCTCTCTCCTTTCCCAACAAGAAAAGGCTTGCGGATACGCACCTTGTCTCCAACTGCAAATGTGGGAGTTCTGGCACCTCTTTTTTTGTCAGTGTAACGCTTACTTTTCTCTTGTTGCAGAGCCAATCTGGATCTCACTTGGCCATACTGTCCTGTGCAGTCATGATATGGCAGTATGTGGAGTTTTGTTCTCATAGGTCTCCCTCGCAAGAGCTTGAAAGGAGACTCATTGGTTGTAGCATGGGGTGTAGCCCTGTAGTTTTGGAGCATAGCAGTCACTGTTGGTTTCCATGGCTTATGAACTGCCTGGGCTCCTTGGATACAGTCTTTCAGCACTCTGTTGAATCGTTCGACACACCCATTTGCTTGAGGGTGGTACACACTTGTTTTGATGTGCTTAATTCCTCTTTCTTTCAGGAAGTCTGCAAAAGCACAAGAAGTGAACTGTGGACCATTATCAGTTGTTATAGCACAGGGGTTACCTTCACGAGAGAAAAACAGCTGACAGAAAAGTAAGGACAGTAGCTGTAGTTGCATTTGGGGTGAAGGCTACTTCTGGCCATTTGCTAAAGTAGTCTACTAGAGTGATAGCAAATCTGCAGTCCTGTGGCCCACGTTCAAAAGGACCAACAATGTCCACAGCCACATGTTGAAAGGGGCCTTCGGGGAACTCTACTGGCTGCAAAGGGGCAGGTGATGCTTTGGCAGTTTTATCACATGACTGACACACTGTGCATGAGGAGAGGACAGTGTAAACTAAAGAGTCCATATTTGGAAACCAGTAAAGTTCTCTGAGGCGTTGCTTGGTGCGCACAATGCCTTGGTGACCCTCGTGTGCAAGGTGCACAATGCGCTCTCTGAGTGACTTAGGGACAACCAGACGTGT